ACTAGCGGGCAGATCAATTAGGTTTAGTCGTGACTACCACATAAATCTACTGTTTTTCTAAAAACGTGTTTTTTTTTTTGAAAACGCATTTTAAAGGCAGCGTCCACCCAGAATTTGGCCCCCATGTTTTCGTCATTCTGGGACCTTTCCGTGGCCCTGATTACAGTTCCGAACTTCAAACTCTCCAAAATTCACAAAAAAACCCGATTTCTGGGGACCTTGTCTTGAGGGCGCGGACGAGTTTCGAATCGCTTGTCCCCGTCGGCAGGCCAGTGGGGAGGAGCTGCAACGGCGTGGGTGCAGTTGCATTGCAGTGTGCAGTGCGCAGCTTCTGCTCACTACCTTGTCAATACGTGTCGAGGCAGTCCCTGGTGGGCGGAGTCTGATATCAGGCTAGTCCCTGAATATATACTACGCTTTCTCCCCTAATCTCCCCTTTTCACAGAGACGTCTTCGTCCACCCTATTACACTCTCAAAAAATTTGCTTCATCCGGTTTTTCTCCCAAATCATGAGAAATCGTCAGGAAAGTAACAGAATACGCAGCGTTTTGGAAGTAGAAGAACACCCAAAAAACAATGATGTATACCACAAAGAACACTTTTTTCTCTCAAAATTAACTTTGACAGCAACTAAATCAATTGTCTCATAACTTTGTCGAAAAGTCCTCCAAATTAGGAACGCTACGTAATAAATCATGCTAAATCTTTCCGCACACGGTAGCCGATGATAGACGAGGAGTTGCCCGACTAGATGCGGACACGCCCCATGTATTTATACCGAACCATCTCGATTTTTTTCGCGCATAGATTTCGCCTAAAAACAAAAAAAAATTCACAAATCAGACTGAAAACATACCATCACATGTTGCACAACAGTCTCAAGACGACGTTTTTGCATAAGTCACATGTTACATATGCGATCCTGAGCAACATCCATAAAATAACGAGGCAAATGTCTTCCCTGGTGGAGGTTCAATATATTGTGATTGTCAGTACCATGGAAATTGTCCTCGTGCAAGGTTGTTGCCGCATTGTCTTACATGAGTTCTATCTACTGAAATCTTTTGCTTGCAGGTCGTAATAATGTCTTAACACCTCAGTTATGTTATCAGGCAAAAATTCTGCCTTTGAATGCGTTTATTTTGTTTTTCTCTGCTTATACAAAAAGTATATCGCATATACTAACTATCTCATGGTAGAACCAAAATTTGACGCTTTTCGAGCACTATTTTGAGAAATACTGCGAATTTGATGAAAATTTTGCTTTTTCAAGCTTTTGCGAAGATCTGACTTTTGTTGTAGACTGTAAAGCGTGAAACTGAGCTTGCTGTCAGAGGCAACGCCTCAAAAGAAAGGGCACTTAGATAACTAGGCACCGCAGATAATGTTCGGAAATCTTGAACAAGGGTATTATCTGATGGACTTGTGGATAGACTAGCATTTGTGTAATTTGGGTGTCGTTGGTGGAGATCTTCTACTTGGAGAAATCGAACACTTTGTGACTGGGTTTCGCTGGCGGAGATTAGCTCCCACTTGGAGAAATCCAACGATTGAGTGACTGGGTCTCGCTGCGGGATGAGCGTTTACTCGGGAAATTTTTTGTTTTTTGTAGAAAGGAAAGAATTTAAGTAGGTGTTTTGCGGAAAGTGCTTTTTTGGGAAGTTTTACGCTTTATGTAACTGGGTCTCGTTGATGGGAATGAGCTTCCCGCTGATTCCAAATCTGCTTTCCGATGAAAAGCGCTTCTAGCAGAGGAGTTACTGAATTTTGAGGCATAATTTCAAAGAGTTGGCTAAGGTAAAAGTTTTAACGTTTTTCCGGCGCGTGAAAGGAGAATGACTAGCATAAGCTGTACTGACTTTTTCGACTACATAAAGCGCCCTGAGAGTAATCATGGCCCTATATGAGCTCACCGACTACGGTTCTGCGTGATTTTATTGTGGACGCGCATTCAATTTTTTGCATTAGAAAGCTCTCGTATCCTCACAGAAGCGCTTTGCAGATATCGAAAACAGATTTGGAATCCGCGTGCTCTGTAAGGCAGTATACATATGAAAACTCCATTTCGATACCTACAACAGAGGAGTGCGCTAGGATCTCATCATCTGAGCGGCGAAATAGACGGGCAGTGAGGTAGTCAACCCATCATTTAGATTCCTGACTGAATATGCATGGAAGAAACAATTTGAAGAGGTTATTCCGAATGATTACTGAAAGAGGTCAAAGTGCTCTAGTAAACGTTTTAAACTGTTTTGCTTTTATGGAAAGTCAGCTAAACAGCTTTTGAGTGTCAGTTGCTCTTGTCACCGAAAGTAGTTGTGAAAATGCAAACTGTTGAATTGAACGAAAACTTGTGAATTTTCTTCCTGACACGTAGGTGAATTTGAATGGATTTGTAACAAGTTGCTCCTATAATGGAACAGAAGGATAACCAAAAAGTACCATTTCTTTGACAGTGATTCACACTCAAGCATCGTAGAACCGGGAATAAAGCGAAAGTCACATTAAGTAAACCACATCTGCAACGGAATCGTTCACTACAACATATTGGGTTGGCTAAGTGAGTTCGATTTAAGTTTACTCTCGCAACTTATTGTATTGCTGAAATTCACAAGCAAATATGGTGTTTGAAAGAGCAAATCACGATGAGCAGTTTTGATATATGCATGTAAGAGGTCATAGCGCTATCCTTGTTTTAGAAGCTTTACAACATGCAAGACCAGAAATGTTTTACTTCGCTTCTGCATGCTCTACGACTTCAGGCAAGGAAAAAGTGCAGCAGAAACCCACCAATCCCACGCGTTGAAAATCCAAAAACCGTGCAAATAAATTCCGAAACAGCCACTATCCTTAGTTTTCTGGCCTCCTTTTTCCAACTCAGCAAAATTTGTGTTGGCCGAGCTCTTTTTTTAAATTATGATTTCGAGAAAATTGCCAAAAAAATCACTTTTTCAGCAGATGATTGAATGGCATTTTTTGAAAATCATAACTTTTCGTAGGAAAGCTCGATCAGTGAAAACTTTGCTCAGTTGGAGGTCAGAAAACTGAGGACAGTGGTTGTCCTGGATTTTACTGCGCAGTTTTTGAATTTTTAACCAGCTTGCCTCAAATCGCCGGACTTTGGAAGATTACCTTCTTTCATGTTTGAACGTGGCTGAAATCCATTAGGCCACTATTGAAAAGCACATGTCTTGTGCATTCTAACAGAATTTATTTCGAACGGGGCCATTGTGATAGAAAAAAGTTGGGGTTTTTTGAAATTGTTCGATTACACGAAAATGTCGATCAATCGAATAATTTTCGAAGTAGATATTCGAATGTTTGAATATATTCGAAAACAAAAAATTCCGTTCAATTAATCAATCGAATAAATTCGAAAATGACAGATTTCGAACAAGCGATTATCGAATATACTCGAGATTCTAAATTTTTCCAATAATCAATTTTTGAACAGATTTTATTCGAATACTTCATTCGAATACACGAATATTTATTCGATTCGGTCCAACGCATATTGCAAAGATAGGCGCCAGACCAGCCGATCGTCCTGCTCCAGTATGACGCGGCGCGGTTGTGCACTTGGTGTCACGTTGGACGTGAAACTTGAACATGTTCACAGTTTTTGCGTAACACCAAACACATACTCTTGATATCAATATGTCTTCCCTCAACATGACGTGGATCACGTGTATTGTTGAGGCACCACCTCGCATCAGGCTTGCGGCATGTTGCGTGCGCCTCTTTGGCGTGGTGCGGCATCAAGAACGGCGGACGGTCAGGAGGTACGATCGGCGCGAATTTTTCGCGAAGCGACGTCGCAACGCACTTCAGCCCTTACAACAGCAGCGCTTCTGGGCGCAGTCTTACATATAGCATCAAGTCATGTATCTGTCCCCACCCTTACCCCCTGTTTTTGCCGCCGGAATCTCTATTGACGGAGAGTCTTGAAGGCCCCAAGATTTGAGTGCGGCGTGTGCGGAAGAGCGGCCGCCGCGCGTGGCGTACCTCCTGACGTGCAGCCTCAAGAACAACGTGGAAAAGCCAGCTCAACGATGCGCCCGCAACGTGGCACAAGCCCGAAGCGAGGCGGCGCCTCACCAATCCACGTAATCCACGTCATGTTGAGAGAAGATAGTATATGGCTTGATATAGAGAGAACGACTGGCCTACCAAAGGCAACAACCGGCACAAAAGCAGCTGCTGGCTGCAGAAGCGACAGCCGACGCTTTTGGAGGCTCTTAAACCAATATTGCCTTGCATTCTCGTCCGCACTAGTTCAAATGTCTTTGTACTTTAGAGATAAGATCATAAACAGTAAGATCGACGATGTATTGCTCCGTCATGGTTGGTCAGCACAACAGCAGAGAAATCAAAAGCAACGACGAAAGAGTACATAAACTAACTTGAACCTTTGTTGGGAGGTGAATGAGTAGCACAGAGCTACAGCGATAGAGTCCACTCTTCAGCTGGCCTTTTCAAGTAGACTGTTTGAGACTAAGAAATGACAGTTTATTGACCACAAGTTGGGACTCACACGACGAGCGCTCGCCGCGCACAAGCTCGTTTTTGTGCCTCACAAAAACTTTCTGGTTAGGGGGATGTAGGTGGCGGCACATACATATAGTCTCCCCAATTGGGATCAGGCCAAACCGTCGGCGGAATTTGCGCGCTCGCAGCGCTAGGGGATTGCACTGCATACGCGCGCTGCCGCAGAGAGTGAAGAGATCGAGGAGAGAGCAGACTAGCAGATGTGGCGCGAAACCCTCGCGGCGCGGACTCCCGCCACGCCGATTTTGGCCTGGTTAGGATTGAGGCAGACTGTACTTTCTGAAAGAAGTAGCATGGCGCTAAGAGTGCTGGCGAGAGCAGGTTTTTGGATTGGTGAATGTCACGAAGCGGCAGCGCTTCGCAGTATATCGCGAGAGATATGAAGACTCGATAAAGTGCATGCTATCAAGTTTTTCTTAATTGTAATTGTCTATGTATTCTTGTTATTAAGGATCTCTTCGCTTCTCAGCGAGGCTACAACGAGCGAGACACTGCCCTTAATTGATTTCTATGTTGTCTTCATGAAAAACAAGCAGAAGATGAGCGCTTTTCTGAAACAAATTCCGACGACTGTGGGGGCTGAGCATCTAAAACGCGTTGACAAAAGCGGAAGAGTACTCTTGCAACGTGTGGGTATCCTATCGATAGAGCTACTGCAGGCACTGGAGGAATTTGGAATGACAGAAAACGATTTACAGGTGGTTATTATTAAACAATGAGACCGAACACTGTATTCGTTCAGTGGATTTTCCAGATAGCCAAAGTTCCTTCAACTAGACCTGTGACTAGACAGCAGTTTGATTGGGCAAAACAGTATTGGCCTACCTGCTTTCATCGTGATAAGGTTTGAAATTTTGTTGCGCCCGCTACTTCATTATGATTGATGGCGGCTCATGCGGCTTGGATAGCGACCGCCTCGCCCGGGCTTGCACTTGGGCGTGCTTTCTGATCATTCACCACGAGCATGGGAAACGGCGAGCTTCTATCTGATTAATGGAAATTGATTGGAGCATGCTCGCGATGGAGTTGCAGAGCCCAGGTGGGGCTATGGGACGGGACCGAGCTGCACGAGCCCTCATCTCTTTTGGCCCATATGCTTCCTTGGGTGAGAAGAGCGTCCCCAATGATGAAAAAGCCGCAGCGGATTTGCCCGCGGACTCTTCATAACAGGGACGCTGCTTCCGTTGCAGCGGGGTAGTGTATAAGGCCCATTATGACACAGAGAATATGTTGTTTGTAAATTCAGGTATTGGAGGGTTTACTGGACAGCTCTGTATTCACAAAGAAGGACAAGTTCGAAATCTACAGTTGGTGTAAACGAGCTCTTCATGTGGGAAGTGTGGTCGTGCAAGTCGGCAATTTTTGCTCATAAACTTTTCTATCTCACATGGTTATCTTTTATTTTAGAATGGTAAGGAGTTAGCCTGTAGTCAAATAACTTCCCAACTCCTTGGTCATCCTGTCATGACAATGGTGCAGGAACTGGCGAAATGTCCAAGGCAACTGGGTGACTATCTAGCAACTGACTGCGATGTTTATCTGAGAGATGAACCGTGTGCGATGTGTGCAATGGTAAGTCTTTTCCTTTTGATGCTTCATAAATTCATCCACCTGAATTAAGGTTGTTGAGATTTTTGGGTGGGGGTAGCTGAGAGGGATGTGTGATATCTCGCTGTTCTGCATATTTGTATTCTTCTTCGTTGTCTGTCTTATAAAGGTTCTTATGCCCTGATAAATGTGCATAATGTATCCTGGGACATTAACGGAAATCTTCACTGTTCTGTGTGTTCCTGTGGGGATCCCAGGAAATCAGCCTTATTTTCAAAGTTATACAGTGCTGGCCATAGCTATAAAGCCACCCTAAAAATCACTGTAATTTGCTCTCTCTTGCTCAAAATTGTCTAAAAAACCGCTATTCTGTGTGCAAACTAGCGTCATATCATTGACCAGAACGGCTCCCGATTTCATTGATTTTGGCCGGAGAAAAACTAAAAATTTGAAAAAAGGGGTTCCCAGGGCTGGTCACAGCTATAAAGCCACCTCTCATTTCCAATCAGTACTACGTTTTTTGCGGCTGAAATTTTTTGTACATATACAATATCAAAATATGAAACAATTACCACAATTGGAAGCAGTCGCCTTTTCAAAAAGGAGATTCATCCGCATTTTCTGCTCCAAAATGTATAAAAAGTTATAATATTTGGAAAAACTGCTTTTTCACCGAATTCTCAAGCATTTCTTTAAATCGAATGAAGGTCCTAGGCTTCGCCGAGCCTTTGCAATGAATATTGTTAAAAGCGCAGGAGTTAACATGGCGTAGTCGCTGGTAATGATATACGAAGCTCAATCTTACCTAGGTGTAAATGCACTTCTGAAACGCAAATCTCAATTTCTGACGCGCGAAAATTTTCGGTTGGAAGTTGACACCTTGTTTACATGGTGACATACTCATGCAGAAGCTGTCAGGCTTTTTAGAAAGGCGTATTTGCAGCATTGAACTTAGAACGCCTTGTCTGCAGTTCGGTTGTGCGCAGTGTATCTCGCAGGACCTCAAATTTTACTGCTTTGAACTCCTTTTCAGGTCAACTTTTACAAAACTGTCAGGAATACTAGAATTTTGAAGTTTAGAGCGGTTTTCCGCTCGATCGAGAGGTCAGAGTGTGTCACTATCAGGCAGAGTGCACCACTCATTTTTAGAAAAAAGGCGTTCAAGGCGAAACCAAAGTCCTGAGAGTTGCGATGACGTTCAAGCTATGCGCACGAGTCTATCGTTGTATAGAAGACGTGCTGAGCATGTGACAGAGCTTTTCGGGCATTAGAACTCAATTTTTGCGGCTCGAAAGCTCGACTACCTGGAGGTGAGGTTGGAGCTCGTTTACCAATACCAGCGACTACGCCATGTTGACTCCTGCGCTTTTCACAATATTCATTGCAAAGGCTCGGCGAAGCCTAGGACCTTCATTCGATTTAAAGAAATGCTTGAAAATTCGGTGAAAAGGCAGTTTTTCCAAATATTATAACTTTTTATACATTTTGGAGCAGAAAATGCAGGATGAATCTCCTTTTTGAAAAGGCGACTGCTTCCAATTGTGGTAATTGTTTCATATTTTGATATTGTATATGTACAAAAAATTTCAGCCGCAAAAAACGTAGTACTGATTGGAAATGAGAGGTGGCTTTATAGCTGTGACCAGCCCTGGGAACCCCTTTTTTCAAATTTTCAGTTTTTCTCCGGCCAAAATCAATGAAATCGGGAGCCGTTCTGGTCAATGATATGACGCTAGTTTGCACACAGAATAGCGGTTTTTTAGACAATTTTGAGCAAGAGAGAGCAAACTACAGTGATTTTTAGGGTGGCTTTATAGCTATGGCCAGCACTGTATATCCAGGAAGCGATTAAAGGGTGCCTTCATACTGCGCGGCAACCGCCGCTCGCCCGTAGCAGCCGTTAGCAGCCCGCAGCAGCCACTGACGCTTTTGTTGTCATTGGAGCGCAAAAACATCAGTTTGTTACTATGTGCTGCACCCGCCTACGCTTTTCATCCTCCACGCTTATTCCCTCTAACTGCCGCTAATATGTAGTTCGAATCTCACACTTTACATTTGCGTTCATTGTTCTGTTCACTTTGCATCCTATCAGTGCCCACATTTCACTTTTGCAATCTGTATTGTCTAGAACGATAGTGGGCGATTGTTAAAGTCAGAAACATTTGCCCCGCGAATGAATTCGGCGAAATTGCGAGATAGTACAATGCAGTTCAGGTATGCACCGATAGCTAAGAAAAATATTGGGGCGAAAGCATGCTTAAAAGTAAACGAATTGCATACCTGCAGAAACTAAACACATTCAAAGTCAGAGGGGATCACACCGAAAATTCTTTGAGTAATAGCGGAACCCCAACTACCCAAGGAAGTAGCGCTCGCTGAGGGCTTGGCCACGCCCAAATTCTGCTATCGCCTGCAAGAAAGCACGACTTTGCGGACCGCCTGCCCCCGGCGATTGTCTGAGTAAGTGAGTTCGAAGTCCCGTTGCAAAGGGATGAAGTCAGATGCGAAATTGTTTCAGAAGGTAGAAGCAGCGGTGTAGCTACGCCCGCTGCTGCATGACGAAGGCGCAATATTTTTGGGCGCGAACACGGCTTTATTAGCCGCAGAGCGCATAAGGCGCAGGATTTACAGTGGGAGGATACGCGCATCGCGTTCGCGCCCGCTCAACTAATACTGCTTCTACGCCCTCGTCATGCAGTAGCCTTTAGGTGGTTTGAGGATAACAAATCCAAAACTCGGTTCATTTACCAAGGAATGCCCTTCAGATTATGTTTTCAGATTTCGACTTGGATACATTGAAGCCCAATTTCGTCTTGTTATCCTCAGATCACTACTTATGCATATCTCACTACGCGCCTTTAATGGGATCTAGGTAAATCCCCAGTGATGCCTCCCTCAGGTGCACCCATCAAATCTCTCACAGACAAAATTATCCTAACGACATGAACACAATCTTATAAACATGAGTTAAGGAATACAAACACTAACTTAACGTGAATACGATGATCGGAGTCAGAGAACGAGATGGCTGGGGCGTTGCACGTTCCTTACTGCCTTGACGCAGCTCCTGCCGCCTTATTTGGTGGCATATGAGCGAGCGAGCGTTGGCGTAGAGCAATTTGTAAACAAATCGTGTGCGAGCGAAGTAAAGAACCAATATTACACGAAATACAAAGCCTCCGCCCAAAGTGCCGAACTTAGGGAAATTCGAATTTTTTTCCAGATATTCGAATTTTGAATAATAATCGAAAATCGAAAATTTCGAATATTCGACTAATAAGTATTATTCGAAATCTTAGATTGTCGAATAATCGAGTTTTGAATCATTTGCATTCGAGTTATTTATTCGAATGATCGAACAATCATTCGATTCAGTGCGAAGTATAGTGGAGCCACCTCCACCTCTTCTTTCTTTTGTAACGATTTACCTATTGTGACTTCTCTTCTGCAGCAGAATGGACTATAGCTCAGTCGGGTGGCCCGTTATTGTATCGCATCAACACCTCACCAAATTCAATTTGAGTGGAGCCTTTAAGTCAAGATAGCCTAATTTAGGCTCTTGTACATTGTCGGTCCGCTCGAGTATTTTTTTGCAAAAGTTCTGTCAATGGAGTGTATTCGCAAGGTAATATGTTGGGCACTGTAAGCTGTTAGTTTTAACAACGCTATTTATTTTAGGGAAGTGGCAGTTACATCTTGAACCAGCCATCAATCATCACTATCGCGTCTTTCAAGTGGAGCTGGTATCAGATGAGCGAAAATCCTCATTTTGCGGAAGATAACACGTTAGCTCGATGACTTACTCGAAATAACTAGAGGTGTAAATATTCGCAGCTTTTGCCGTCTCTGCGTTGTAACCCTGTATTTACCTTTCACCATCGCCATTAAATCTGCAAGAGGGTCTTTCTTCGTTTACCAGTTTTGGTTTTAATAAAGTGCTGTGGCCGTAGAGGCGCAATATCTTTGGACGGGAACGCGGCTTTATTAGCCGCGGAGCCCATGAAGTGCGGGATTTAAACGGTGTAAATACGCGCGCGTCGCGTTCGCGCCCGCTCAACTATTGTTGCTTCTGCGCCTTCGTCCTGCAGTAGTCTTTACCTTGGAAGCGCATAACTGTATTCACAAGGCTGTCGTTGCTTTTATCTCAAGTACCTATGTATTTTGAGTGGATTTACGAGCTTGAAATCCGTCTTTTTCATCCAAGCCACGGAGGATGTCATAGGCTACTTCTCGCCGATTTTCGGTACATTTCAATTCGTAATTCTTGGAAATTGGAAGCTTGAGCGAAAATTCAATCGTCTTGACGCATTTCCCCTTGGTCACTAAATAGCTTCGGTAAAACCCAATTCGTTCTCCCCTTTTTACGAGGTAGATAAGGAAATAGTGTGGATATGTTTGCAGCGCAGTATCGGGTAAGCAGCGGTAGAGTGGGGGGGGGAGGGGAGAGCACAGAAAAGCGGAGATCTGATAATTGGCAAATGCTCAATACTTTGTCATCAATATGACAAGAAATTGATGAGCTTATGTCTCTAATATCGGTTTATCTCTTGAATTTTTACTTCAGTGAGCTTCTGTCCTTTCACGCTTAACATGTGATCCAATTCCTCAACGAACCCTGAAGGTGAACCCTATTTTAAGGGTAAGTTTCACCCCGAAAAACGATTAACCCGTATCCAGAAGCGCAGAATACGCTTAAAGGCACCGTCCACCCAGATTTTCGACTTCCACGTTTTTGTCGTTACAGGGCCTTCTCATGTCCCTGATTCCGAATATGAAGTCGAGGATGCGCGAAAACCGCGACAATCTCCGTTCCGGAGAACCCACAGGCCTGCTTTCCGGAACGGTGATTGGATGGGCGCGCACAAGTGGGCGGGCATGGATGGGGGAGGGCGGGCATGGGGGTCCTCGTGCATCTTCGCTATTCCGAAGCGATTTTCTCGCTTCCGAAGCGGCATTTTGCGCCGCGACTTGGGCGTTGGACTGATAGGGGGCCCTACTGTTATATGCTGCCAAAACCTGAACACCCTCAAGTTAGGGTGGACGGTGCCTTTAACCTCAAGAGTTATCCATACTTTGGGTTAAACTTACCCCGAAGAGCGATTAACTCGAACCCACCAACGAACCCTCAGGGTAAACCCCACCTTTGAAGGTAAGCTTCACCCCAGAAAGCGGTTGACCCGTATTCATGACCGTGGCTCATCAATGGTGAATTTAACCCTAGCATAGAGGAGAGTTAAACTTACCTTGAAACTTCGTACAAACATGAGGTGATCTCTCGATGCGCCACTCAGTTAACGATATTGTTCTGACAATAACACATCCGAAATTAATATCATATCAAATTCGTATAGTAGAAGTACTTCTGTGCCAAACAGATTTGTTAGGTGTTCCTTTATTTCCAATCACGGCTAACGTTTCGACGCCTTTCGTCTTCCTCAGAGGCCCTGTGAACACCGCTATTTGGGAGCGTCGAAACTTTAGACCGTGATTGGCAATAAAGGAACACCTAACAAACCTGTTTGGCACAGAAGTACTTCTACTATACGAATTATGCCCAGGTTTGAAGAAAGCGAAACTTTCAAATTTATATCAAATTCTCTGATATCACTTCCAATTTCCTACGGCCTCTTCGTCTCGTCTAGTCATTGCAGAAACTATGATTAAATTATTTAGTATTTATTGGTCATATCGAAGCGTATTGACTAAGAACTTCGATCGTGTATCAAACTTCACTGAACGAGGTATTTGTGAACTAACAGAATGTGTAAGATTTCAAGATTTGATCGAGGGAGCTCTCCATATTACAAAAATTTAGAGAATTTTGGAAACTTTGGCCTCAAACTCGCGGAAAGGGCTCTAACATGAGAATGAAGTAGTAGAGGGAGAGAGTAAGAGTGAGGAAAGTGTTCAAAGCACTTATTGAGGAGGGAGTTCTAGAAGGAACAACTTTGAGCATCTGCCATAAAAACATTCGGGAAGGGATTTGCCTGGCATCTTCCTATGTATTAGATCATTCCGAAAGTTTTCGAATTTCGCTTTTTTCAAACGGTAGCCACATTTGATCGAACAAAGATTCTCAGGAGACCGTGGTAGCATTCGATGCAGCATTTCATCCTCTGTCTAGCAGTAATAAAACTGTTGCAGCGCAGCCAGTGAGTTTTCGAAAAATAACCAAAATCTGTGCTTTTTGAGATGGTCAAGTTTCATAATTTTTTAAGACTTTCATATCCATACCCAGAAGGAGTTCAGGTAAGGAATCGTAGAGCAAACCTTGTAGACCACAGTCCACCGCTTTTCTCTTTTTCATAACTTGTCATACATTTTGAACAGAATTTTAACTGATCCTACCGATTTCCATTTTTGGACAGCTAAGTCCCCGTAGATCATCAGAGGAAGAGCAGTTCGAGCATTATTCGATGCAGCATTTTCTCTTTCTGAAGGGTGTTTTTTGTTTCCGATTCGTTTAGTTTTCAGGGATATGATCATCATAACTCATTTTTTTAACGAGCCCCAGGGTGTACCCGAAAACTCGAAATTTGATATTACAAATCCGCAAACTCTCATTTGCTTTATGAAATTAGTGCTAACTCATAATACCATCTTGATAGTCTTAAATTCCGAATAATTATGATATTTGATGCGATTGTGGTTGATGTAGGCCTGCCAAAATCCGATTTTTTGTTAAAAAATCCTTTAAAAAATTGCGGCGAGCCATGAAAAAGAGAAAAAAGTTGCACTGTAGTCTATAAGTTAGTATAGACTTATATTAGTTTCAAAATTTTCACCACTTTTATCAATTATCGATTTTTTTTGCGAATTTTGAGCTACGGGGAGTTGGGCGCAGTGGCCGCATTTTCGCGGACTTCTTCGAGAATATGCAATGTTGGAGCCGCACTTTCTTTTGTGAAGGACCGCACAGCCCGTAAATACCTTCCGCTATAAGAAATCTTTTAGCAAGGTATGTTTCAAATATCTGCTACTAGTTGACTTACCCGGCTCCGCCCGGCCCTGTCATTATTATATTCGTAATCAGCATGCTCGATTACCCCCCCCCCCCCCCTGTGCCAACTCCCAGCCCCGTAGCTCAAATTTTGCAAAAAATCGATAAAATCGATATCGATCGATGACGATTAGGGCAGGTTCAGAAGGGCCTACACCCCTTAAGATAGCCTTTATACATGAAGTCAAGCTCTACCACAAAAAATTTTGGGGCCCGGATAGCCGAATTGCGCCAAACTGATATCGAACTCGTAATCAGCATGCTCGATTACTCCATTGTGCAAACTCCCAGCCCCGTAGCTTAAACTTTGCAAAAAAATCGATAAAACCGATAAAAATAATGGACGATTTCAAAAGCTAATATTGTAATCGTAATCAGCATGCTCGATTACCCCCCATGTGCAAACTCCCAGCCCCGTAGCTCAAACCTTGCAAAAAATCGATATAATCGATAAAAGTGATCGATAATTCTGAAAACTAATATTGTCGGAATCCCCATGCTCGATTACCCCCTGTGCCAACTCCCAGCCCCGTAGGTGAACTATGCAAAAAAATCGATAAAAATCGATAAATTCGATACTGATCGATGACGAAAAGTAGCCTATGACACCCGCCGGGGCCCGAAGTGGTGCTAAGTTTGGTCCGGATCGGTTCAGAAATGGAATTTTCTATTCGTAACATACGTACACACAGACATACAGACAGACAGACAAACAGACATTCAGCTTTATATATAAGACTAGCTGGCTTACCCGGCTTCGCCGTATGTTCCAAATAGAAAATTCCATTTCTTAACCGATCCGGACCAAACTTGACACACATACACTTCGGGCCCCGGCGGGTGTCATAGGCTACTTTTCGTCATCGATCGATATCGATTTTATCGATTTTTATCGATTTTTTTGCTGAGTTCACCTACGGGGCTGGGAGTTTGCACAGGGGGGTAATCGAGCATGGGGATTCCGAATACAATATTGGTTTTCAGGATTATCGATTACTTTTATCGATTTTATCGATTTTTTTGCAAAGTTTGAGCTACGGGGCTGGGAGTTGGCACAGGGGGGTAATCGAGCATGGGGATTCCGAATACAATATTGATTTTCGGGATTATCGATTACTTTTATCGATTTTATCGATTTTTTTGCAAAGTTTGAGCTAGGGGGCTGGAATTTGGCAGGGGGGTGTAATCGAGCATGCTGATCACCCCCACGGGGGTGATCAGCATGCTCGATTACCCCTGTGCCGACTCTTAGCCCCGTAGCTCAAATTTTGCAAAAAATCGATAAAATCGATATCGATCGATGACGAAAAGTAGCCTATGACACCCGCCGGGGCCCGAAGTGTATGTGTGCCAAGTTTGGTCCCGATCGGTTCAGAAATGGAATTTTCTATTCGGAACATACGTACAGACAGACAGACATACTACAGACATACAGACATACAAACAGACATTCAGCTTTATAAGATGACACCTCTGCCTTATAGAATGCTATTACTCGACGTATGCCCGAAACTGCTTAAAAAGAGTCAGAGCGCTCGCTGAAAATTTGGCCAGCGCTCACTAAAAGAAATTATTTGATGACCGCTTGCAGAAAATTCTGTATTGCTGTCCGCCGGCAGAACATGCCACAGTAAAGGAAGTACCGCTTGCTGAAGGTGTGGCCACGCCCCAAAATTCTGCTGACCGCCTGCAATAAAGCGCGATTTTGCGAACGATTGCCCCCGGCGATTGTCTGAGGGGGGGGGGGGGGGCAGGGATAAGTGAGGATGCTGATTACTAATATAGCGGCTCAGATAATCGCCGGGAGCAAGCAGTCCGCAATCGCGCTATTCTGCAAGCGGTCAGCAGAATTTTGAGACGTGGCCAAACCTACAGCAAGTGGTATTTTTGTGTTCTGCCAGCGGGCAGTAATACAAAATCTTTTGCAAGCGCTCGTCAGTCTCTTTCAG